AGTGCTGGGATTACAGGCGTGCGCCACCATGCCCAGCCAAATCTGCCATGTTTAATGCCTTCCCTGTAATTCTGTGAATTTATTGTCCTGCCTTGTGTGCAGACATGTCCTGATCACTAGAACAGGGGAAAGAGGCTGTCATCTGGAGTCTGCTTAGACACAGGGGCCCCAGAAAGCAGGAAGTCTTGGCATACCCAGGCCACAAGGCAGTCAGAGCGGGCGCAGGGGCAGGCATTCCTGAGCTCTCCCTGCCTCTCAGAGCCCACACTTCAGTTCACAGACTGAGTAACAGACATCGAGCATCCTTCCCAAAGTAAGCTCAGAGGTGCAGAATCTTGCCCTGCCCGAACTGGCCGATTCACAAGACCTTAAGTGCATCCTTTGCATTGGGGAGGGCGGCCTCTGTCTAAAGGATATCAAAAGGAAAAAGCAAGGGGAATTTGTGGGGGCTGGAGCACACTCTCCCTTCTGGGGTACAGGGAAGTACTAGAAGGCTACCTCTGTCCCACAATGGGGTGGATCTGAGATCTTTGTTCTAAGAGTTCAAAATTTTCTCCCTGAATTGAGAAGGGACGATTTTGTGTTAGAGACTTGTCATTCTGGCCTATTCTTGGATCCAGATATTATAAAACCAAAAGCCACTGAGCAATGGACTCTGCCCCGAATTTCCTTAATCACAGTCCTTTAGCAGCAGCTTCAGTCTGTAAGGAAAAGGAGGTCCGCTGAGGTGAAAAGGTGCTGAGGAATCTTGGGCCCAGCAGAAGAAGCTCGGAGGAGAAGCTCTGCCGCTTTTATTTTCCTTCCCTGCCCCCAAGGGGCCCTGTCAGCTTTGGGCTCTCCTTTCCTACCTGTTCTTGGGTGGTGGGGAAGCCCAGCCTGCCCTTGGTCACACCTCTGTCTGGTATTTTCCTGCCAGCGTGGCAGTGTCGTGACCCCAGACAATTCTTCTAAAGATAATTTTTTAGAAGAGGCATAAGGTGATTTATTAGGCAGCAGTTTAATAGTACACACTCAAAGAAATAGAGTGTGGGCCCTCAAGAGAGAGGCGCTACAGTTGGAAGCCAGGAATATTTGTTTGTTTGTTTGTTTTTGGTCTTTTTCAGACAGGTTCTCTTATGCAGTTCAGGCTGGTCTTGAGCTCACTTTGTACCCCAGGCTAACCTTGAACTCGCATGATCCTCCTGCCTCAGCCTCCCGAGTGCTGAGATTACAGGTGTGCACCACCACACCCAGCTATTTGTGTATTTTTGGTGGTGGAATTTGTGAATCTATGGAAGTTCTATCTTGGTCTTGATTGGGGGCCTGCTCCACAGAAAAGATAATGGACCATTTTACAGGTGAAAGGCATGAGCCCCATCTTTTTTTTTTTTTGGATGGGTGAACTAAGATATTTTGTTTAAAAACTATTCTTTGAACTCTTGCACTCTTTTCATCTTATGATCAGGTTTCTGCACTTTATGTTACCAGGTTTATGTTACTAACCTATGAACTTAAGGTATTTTTAAGGGAGTTTGGGTATGATGGGCCCAGACAAAAAGAAGCATAGACAAACTTTTAAAAAAAAAATGACCTTTACAAGATAACTGTGGGTAACTCTGTGTGCCGGAGTTATAGTCTTCTACAAAGTACAGTTTTTAGTTGTGCTTTTCCTTATCCCCTTCTTACCTATCTTTATTTCCTCTGTCCTACCTCATTTTCCCCCAGGTTTATTGTTCTAAAGGTTGTCTGACCAGCCCTGTGATCCTAGCACTTTGGGAGGATGAGGCAAAAAGATTGCAAGTTTGAGGCCCAGCCCAGACAATTTAGCAGCTTAGCAAGAACCTGTCTCAAAGTAAAAAAAGCTGGGGATATAGCTCAGTATGAAATCTTTGGGTTGAATCCCCAGTACCAGTATTTTTTATTAAAAAGAAAAGTTTAAAAAAAAGAGGGGGCTGGGGATTTAGCTCAGCGGCATAGCACCTGCCTGGCAAGCGCAACGTCGTGAGTTCGATTCCCAGTACGGGGAAAAAACAAAACAAAACAAAACAAAACAAAAAAGGTCCATCTGTCCATCTTTCCAGCTATGTTGCAAACTCCTGAAATTCTTTATTGTCAGCTTGCTCTTTCTTTTTTTTTTGAGATAAAGTCTTGTGATATAGTTCAGTCTCAACTTGAGCTCATCATATAGCCCAGGCTGGCCTCAAACTCACAGCAGTTCTCCTGCCTCAGCCTCCCAAGTGCTGGGATTACAGGTGTGCACCACCCCAGCCAGCTGAGCTTGCTCATCTTACACCTTTGTCTTGATACAACCTTAATGCCTCATGTGTAGACCTGTATGACCTTTTAAGAGTTGTTGCTTCAGGAAGTCGTGACACATAGCCTGCACTCTTCCAGACTCTTGTCACTTTGCATCCACCCTACCTGCACCTTACCGGATGCAGCCTGGGGTTGGTTTATTTCCATCTGAAAGCCAGGTCTGTGACACTCAGGCTCACAAAGCAGGCAAACGCCAGTGTGGTCCCAGAATTCGCTTTTCTCTGGCTTGGTATTAGCCTACATGCCCAGTCACATAAAAGAGGGCCTGGCTGGGACTTCCTGTGTTTGAGGACGTCCTGAGCCAACTGAATGGCCGCTGATGCCCTGGGTCAGCCTTGCCTCCCCAGGATAATGGGTAGACCATGCGGCCAGGGCTGCGTTTGGTCTGTCACTAGTCTGAAGTTCATCAGATGCGAGAACTTGGGCCCGCTCTGCTGCCTCTGCTTGCCTATTACCTAGCAGCTGGCCCGCCTCTGCGTGACAGAACTTTCCACGCAACTGGACATGGTCTCTCATGCACAGGGCCAAGCTATTGCCTTTTCCAGAAAATGACAGCCCTTCCTGCGAGCTCCCGGAAGAGTAACGTTTAGGTGGAAGTTTTCCTGTTCTCATGAGAGCTCTGCCCTTGAATTCACCTTTAAGGTCTGCCGAGATGCCCATCATGGTGGATGACATCATGAAGCTGCTCTGCACCATTTCGCAGGAGAGGAAAATGAAGGCAGCTGTCAAGCACTCTGGGAAGGGCGCTGTGCTCACAGGGGCCGTGGCCTTCATTGGTGGTTTGGTCGGTGGCCCACCGGGACTAGCTGTTGGTAAGTGCGGTGTCTCCCCTGGATGGCCAGCCCTGGCCGTATCACAAAAGGATCTTTGAAATTATAGCAAGGACTGCCTTGTAAGAGTGATGCCTGTGCGGGGGGTTTGCAGAGTTCAGGTTGCCTCTGTGAGATGATCTTTGTGTATCTAATCCATTATGTTAGCTGGACATGGTGGTATACACCTGTAATCCAGGCACTGTGGGAGACTGAGGCAGGCGGGTCTCTAAGTTTGATCTCAGCTTGGGTGACCTAGTATCTTAAAATAAAAAATAAAATAAGGGCTGGGAATGTAGCTCAGTGGAAAGGCCCTGAGTTCAGTCCTCAGGACTGAAAAAAGTAAAACATGCAAGGAAACAAGCGTCTTTGTGAATGCCTCAGAAAGGCAGCATACTCCTGGCTGTGGCTTCTGTGTGCCTCAGCTACTTTAGGACCCTTTCCAAGTGGAGGGTCCCAAGGCACTGACCCCGCTGTTCCCCAGGGAGGAACCCTGGAGGCCAAAGACAGGTGCCTGTGACCTTCAGGGACCTGTCCGTGTCACTGTCCTGTCACGTCGGCAGGGCCCTGGTGGGGACGCTGGGGTTGCTGAGCCCCTTCTCTGAGCCGATGCGAGCGGCAGCTCCTGGCCAGCTTCCCCCTTTCCCGGCAGCGTGTTCAGAGCAGGGGAGAGATGCTTCCCTCTGTGTTTGAGGAGGAGTGGGAGAGTGCGGCGTCCGCTGCAGCGAAAGGAGCAGACCAGCGAGGAGCTGCAGTTGCTGTTGGTGGCGTCTCTGCCTCTCACTCCCCGCCTGCTTCAGTTTAGGAAGCGGTTTCTAGCGATGAATGAACACGTGGCTCCATGGAGCTGAGATGAAGTCCTCTGTCTGGGTTAGGGGCAGGAAGAATTCCCTTGTCCCCAGCCTTGTAAGAGCTGTGTGGCTCAGGGACGGAATCCGAAGGCCCCGGCCACCTTCCGGGGCCCTGAGACAGGGCCTCTGGTGGGGCTTGCACCACAGTTCAACTGGTGGTGCCGTAAATGGCTGGGCCTCTGCCGCGCTGGGCCAGGCAGACACTCGCAGAATGCCTGCTCGGGTGTGGTGAAAGCCTGGGTCGCAGCCACCTCGTGAATGTGGACTGGAGAGAGAACCACTTCTATGCCCAGGTTGTTCGATGCCCAGTCTTCCCGCTCTGCTCTTCCCTTTGGTAGCAAGATTGACATTCAAGGACATTTCCTTAAGCTAGAGCCACACAGGGCGTAAAACAAGTGTCGGGGTGGCCCCAGACCTGGCCAGTGTGTACTTCCCTTTCCAAATTTGGGGAATTCTCAAATCCTGACTTCAGCTCCTTCCCATCTGGGAAGGAAGCAGTAAAGGAGCAGACAAGGCCATTTCCCTGTCCCTCGATGGTATTCTGAATGCTCGAGCCCCAGCTATGGGGCACCTTCCTGGGGTCATTGTCGAGCGCTGTGCCCAGCTGCCATCTGGGAGCACATACTTTATTCACACTGAGTCAAAGCCGGTGGAGAAGGGGCTGTCTGCTAGGAGAACCCGGGAGACTTCATGCTTCCAGACCCCGGTCATGGGTCGGAGCATCATTTTACCCAGAAAACAAAGGAATTTTCTCTTTGCCGAAGAGCTAGTCATTTGCTGGGTGATATTCCTGGCGGCTCTTTGCATTAAGTGCTGCTCTAAATCAAATATTGATGTTCTCATAAAGGTTTAGTGCAGAGGAGTGCAACTCTTGTCGGCTCTACGCATTTCACTGGTGTCATGGGGAAAAGTTCAGTAAAAGTTGTAAATTAGCTGGCTTCAGCTCCCCGGCACGCTCCTCTCCTTCTGGGAGGACACAGGCAGGGCCTGGTCCTGGGACCAAAGGCGGTGTCTGCACCAGGGTGGCTTCTCTTTGGCCCAGGTTGCTTTATGTAAAACAATGTTTTCTTTTCTTTCTTTTTTGAGGAGTTGAATATTTTATTTCTTGTGCTGCAAAGCTGTTGCTTCACTGTATGAAAACAGCACTGGCAAATTGAGTGTATTGTAAAATTATGACGGTATCATTCTTCTTCTGACCATGTGCAGCTGACACTTTCCTCTCCTCCCTGTATTTCCAAGGGGAAGATAACTTAAGTGTTTTGACCCAAATGCAGGGAGGAATCAGCAAGCTACAATATTATAAAAGGCTTCTGAGAACAGTTACCCTTTACATTTTTTTTATTTTTTATTTTATTATGTATTTTTTTGTCTTTTTGAGATAGGGTCTCGCTATGCAGTTCAGGCTGGCCTTGAGCTGACTTTGTAGCCCAGGCTGGTCTCGAACTCACAACGATCCTCCTGGATCCTCCTGCCTCAGCCTCCCGAGTGCTGGGATTACAGGCATGCGCCACCATGCCCGGCTCTACGTTTTTTTTAATAACTATTTTTTACAGTGGATCATTTCCTGAACGCTGAATATCAGAACCTACACCCTAAGCTAGGCACAGCTGTAATCTCAGCACTTTGGAGGTCAAGGCAAGAGGATCTCTGTGAGGCCAGTCTGGACTACATAATGAGTTCAAGGCCAGCTTGAACTATATAGCAAGACCCTGTCCCCCCAAAAAATCAAAAAGCTTGTAGCCTAATCTAAAACTCAGAAGGTACAAGAAAGATGCATGCTGTTTATCTGCAGTTATTAGGAAGGTGAGGGCTATTTTCTTCAGTAGCAGCGTGGAGAGTAGTCTCTTGCCCACCTGTATTTCTAAAAGTTGTTATCTTAAGCCTTCTGTCTACCACTAATTTAAGACAACACTGCTGGAGAAAGTTATTTCATACTAGTTAATGTAGGGGTGCTGCTTTCACCCCTCAATAGATTTTATGTGTTTCTCAGACGCTGTTTCACTCACGCGTTCATCTAGTTCTGCAGGGACTCAGCAGCCTCTTTATCAGCCCATCATCTTCCTCATAGCAGGATTTGTAGACGAGCCCAGGATTCTCTGCAACAGCTTTCCTCCTGATAGAGGGGGATTGAGCTCGCTGGCGGCTTTCACCCTTTCCCAAGCACCGGACTCGTCTTGCTTTTTCACTTCCATCCCAGCTTTCGGCAGACCTCAGGAAACAGTATGGCCCAAAGCTTCCTGTGCTCATTCCTGCTGTCCCACTGCCATTTTCTGCTGTTCTCCATTCAAGCTTCTCTGGGAATTTATGCACCATGAGCAGAGCAGGCCGGCAGGGCAGCTCTTAGTGCCGTGTTCACAGGGGTAACTGGGGTCATTGGCCTGCAACTTGGACCTAAAGCAAACTTTTCATTTTGCGATAATAATGGATGTGCAGAGAAGTTGCCCAGGTTGCGTGGAGGATAACCGCCCCATCCTTCACCTTTCTTTGGTTTCCCCGGCGCTGACACGGACCATGGCTTACTGTCAAAGCTGAGAAACCAACGCTGATAGGTCACTGTCCACCCTTCCCCTGCCTTTGCAACATTGCATTTAATTGCGCTGTTTCTCTGATCTCTTCCGGTCTATGACAGTTTCTCAGGCCAAGAGGCTTTTCCGTGACTGTGATCCTTTTGAGGGGCACAGAGCAGATATTTTATAGAATGGCTCTCAGTTTGGGTGCATCGGATGTGTTTTTCTTGGTTAGCCTGGGCTTACGGGTTTTTGGGAAGAATACATTGGAGGTGAAATGTCCTCCTCTTCCTTCGGTCCAGGGGGACAGGACAGCCATGTGACATCACCAGGGATGTTGAACTTGATCACTCGGTCAAGGTCTTGGGTGCTGGGCTTTTCCACTGTAAGTTTCTGTTTCCTGTTCTGTTCTGTAGGAGTGAGTCAGTAGGTCCAGCCACTCTGCATCTTTAAATATCTGACTGCTGATATTTAAAAATTGCGAAACATTTTAAAGGTACACGTCTGGTGTTCTGCATGGCGTAGGGCCGCAGCTGGGGATGGGGACCCTGCACCCCAGGTTCACCACAGGGCTGCTCTGTCCGCTTCACTCCTTTGGCTCACCCACCTGGCCCCTAAAGGTACTGGAGTTTGAGACCCTGCCCCAGGACACTGTCCCTCGCCTTGTGCCATCCTGTGTGTGGCCTGGGTAGGTGGAACTTTCCATTACAGTGTACCTTCATGTCCCAGAATAGTATGCCTTAGCTTTGACAGGGAATTTGAGTTTTAAGAAAGGTTTGTGCCTTTGTTAGACAGCATAAAGAGGAACAGTAAACTACATTAGATTCGTTACTTATCAGAAGAACTGGAGCGGCTGTGTGAAAATGTTCAAGAAAGATCCTGCTTTTCTGTTCTCAGGGTCTTTTAGCCTTGGGAGTTCCCTGCCCAGCTCTAGGTCAGGCTTCCTGTCAGCCACCAGTAGAGAAATTCCAGCCTCACCAGGGAGATAATTTTCTTCAGAAATGCATTTTCCTTTCAGCCCTTTTTAGTCATGAGCGGGACACTTTCCTGGGACGCATGCAGGGCCTTCTTCCGGCCCTGAAGAGGATTGCAGCTGGCACAGTCCTGAGGTGGAGGTGGCCTCTGCTTTGTTTTGCCTGAGTGAGGGTTCAATTAACTGAGCACAGGGACTGGAGGCCGCATAAACCTTTGCCCGCTGTGCTGCCTGGCAGAGTGGGGGGGAAGCCGAGCTCACTCTGACCTGTTCACCAATGTCCCCATTCGTCACGAAGGAGGACATGCGCTCAGCGAGAGCCTGAGGCCAGCGTGTAGAGTGAGGCCTGACTAATTGAACCCTTCCTGCTTTCCTAGGCGGCGCCGTCGGGGGTCTCCTCGGTGCCTGGATGACGAGTGGACAGTTTAAGCCCGTTCCTCAGATCCTAATGGAGCTGCCCCCCGCCGAGCAGCAGAAGCTCTTTAACGAAGCCGCGGCCATCGTGCGGAACTTGGACTGGACAGACGCCGTGCAGCTGACCACGCTGGTCCTGGGCAGCGAGGCCCTGAAGCAGCAGCTGCTGGCCATGCTGGTGAACTACGTCACCAGGGAGCTGCGAGCCGAAGTTCGGTATGACGACTAGGCCGCCCCGCTGGGGAAGTGGGTGACGCTGTGACTGTCAGAGGGCTGTGCTGCGGGGCAGTCAGAGGAGACCGGCAGATCCCCCTGAGGAAGGCACACGTCATCCGCGTGTCACCTCACGCTGGAGCCGAAGGTGCTGCTGCAGAGGCCAGAGCCGGGCTGCGTCACGGCCCGGCGACTGTTTCTGAGGAAGCTGTGTTTTGTGCTATTTGTGTTCATGTTGCCCAGCAGCCTGGGTTGCTGCAGAAGCCAGGACAGCCTCCTGCAGGGCCTGTGGCCGCTCTCCAAATCCTCTCTTGATTGCACAGGAGCCTGGGGAAGTCAGCTTGCACTTCCGGGCCTCCTCATCTTGTGAGGTTGGCTCCTCTTCCGGGCCCCTGTCACCAGAACTTTGTTACCTGCTGAGTGTGCCCTGCCCTGCCAGTGACTTGGACAGTCGCTTGGGGAAGGAGGTTGAGCCACAAAAGTCACGCACACTGGACCCCTCCTCCCAGTGGCTGCGGGCCTGGCCCTCCTACCCTGAGGCCTTGCCTTCCCCTCTCAGAAGTCATGGGAGTTCTTTTATTACTGTTATTCTGGCTCTTTGTTGTTCTCTCAACTTAGGTTCAATATCACTTCAAATATTTCTTCCCCCAAGACATGGTCTTGCCCTATGGCCCAGGTTGACCTCCAACTCCTGGGTTTGGGTGATCGCCCTGTGTTGCTGGGACTACAGGATTGCACCACGATGCCCAGCTTCATCTCAAACACTAGTTTTCTCGCTGTAGCCCAGGATGGGTTTGAACTCAGGCAGTCCCGCCTCAGCCGTCCATGTGCAGGGATTATAAAGCGTGTATTACCATGTCTGGCTCTGGCCACATTTATCTAAAGTAAGTCCTTCTGTTCCCCATCTCAGCTCTGTTGCTTCAGAAGACAAACCACAACTTATAATTTACTTGTGTCAAAGGCAAAATTACAACGAATTTAAAGATCTTAACTGAGCTGGCTACAGTGGAATGCATCTCTGGTCCCAGCTACTCGGGAGGCTGAGGCAGGAGGATGACCTGAACCCAGGAGTTCAAGACCAAAGGTAGAAAACAATGAAACCCAGTCTTAAGAAAAGAGAGAGAAAGACCCAGAGAGATCTTCTTTGGATTTTATTCCCATTTGCAGAATCAGGCAGTACCTTATCCTACAAAATAGAATGAGTATTTGGAAGAGCCAAGCAGAGGAGGTAAATAGAAAAAGCTGAGGGAAATCAGAAGCAGAACAGAAAATGTAGTTTCAAACTGACTTTCCTTGTAGAGGCTAAAGCAGAGGAAACTGCCTTGCTGCCCTAGCAAAAGCTGGCTTGTTAACATTTCTGTCTCTCTCTGTGTCTGTCTCTCTTTTTTGGTTTCTTGAGACAAGATCTGACTAGGTACTTCAGGCCGGCCATAAACTTACCATGTAGCCCAGGCTGCCCTTAAACTCCTAGAGATCCTCCTGCCTCAGCTTCCCCAAGTGCTGGGATTACAGGCGTGTGCCACCACGCCTGGCAGCTGTTATCTCTTATTATCTTGACTTCTCCTAAAGAGGACGAGTGAGTCCATTTTAGTTGGCCCATTGGGTCCGGTGTGCATGAGCTCAGTCCAGGCCAAAGGCCTGTCACAAATTTAACTTAACATTTCTTTTTTTTTGTATTTTTGAGACAGGGTCTCACTCTGCAGTTCAGGCTGGCCTTGAGTTCACTTTGTAGCCCAGGCTGGTCTCAAACTCGCCACGATCCTCCTGCCTCAGCCTCCCGAGTGCCGGGATTACAGGCCTGCACCACCATGCCCGGCCCTTAACCTTTCCTTCTTCCCTCTTTTTATCTCCTGTTCCTATTGGAAATGTTACAGCAAGGTCTCCCGCCCTGGCTCCTCCTTCCCCACTCTCCCTGGTCCTCCACTGCCCCCCTCTGCCATGCTATTTCTTCTTTAGAACCAGCCAACCGTGACTAAAACTGAGCCAAAATAAACTTTCCTTCCTTTACATGTGGGTGTCGGGTATGGCGTCTCAGCGATAGAAGGTGACTGAGGCAGGCCGCTGAGGGTTGCCCTGGTGCCGTGTCACTCCACTGTCAGAACTGCTCCTCGACCGTGTCACCAGGTCACAATGAGCTTTTCTGAAAAGTCGTTTTCCTGTGGATTTTGTGTAAGGTCTCTGACTTTGCAGGCTTACGCGAAAACCAGCAGGAAGGTACCTGGTTTGTGGCTTTAAGGGATGGAAGGAAGCTCCCCCAGCTCCGTCCCAGAGGCCTGCCCTCCCAGGCTGGCAGCAGGGCCCTCTCATCCCCAGGCCCAAGGGCTGCAGCAGGGGCCCTCCCAGGGGTGCAGAGGAGGCGCTTCTGAGCGCCAGCTCGGGAGAGCTCAGTAGCCTGCGCTCCACGGTGTAAAGGGAGCTTCAGGGTAAACTCTACCCCAGGGCCGATCCGGAAGCATGGAGCCTTTGTCCCAGAGAGCTTGCTCTTCGGCGTGCCTCAGCCGGCACAAATCCTGTGCCCTGGCACAGAGTCACCCTCCTGGAGCTGACCAGCCCGGGTCCTTTACGTAACGCTGGAGTTGTGTTCCTGAGGGCCAGGGCAGGGGTGGGAGGGATTCTCTGTCACTGAGAACTGGGCGTGAGCTTCTTGTCGGGCCATCAGCTCTGCTTTTTGTGCTGAGTAGACCCTCACCTCATCTCTTGAACTAAAAAGTCTAATGTCAGGACACGGCCACTAGTCACTTTGTTATAGCGTTAGTGGGGTCCAAAGTAGTCCTCTTTTTCAGTGTGAAGGAGAAAACAATGATTTGCAGATAGGTGGAAAGGAAACCAGAATAAACGCTTCTGGTCCCGGGCTTCAGTGTGAGGGGTTCCTTCCCACCTTGACTAGCGTGGTGAACTCTGCAGTGCTCACGCATCCCCTGGAGGAGCCAGGCTGTCGTGGAGTCCCTCGGCCAGGCAGTTGGACCCTACCCATTTGTATTCATCAGCGGGGTCCCAGCTGCCAGGCCGGGCCCGGGGGACGCGGGTCTGAGACCTGGTGATCACTAAGGGCTCTGCCCGGGCCTGCTGCCCTGGGACAAGCCCCAGATGGTGATGGGGACTGCTGGGTCCCCGGCCAGTGCTACATCTAAGGTTCTTTTTTTTTGGTACTGGGAATTGATCTCAGGCCCTTGCACTTGCCGGCCAGACGCCCGCACCGGCAGGACTCGTGGCTGAGGGCTCAGGGAACTTTCAGACCCAGAGCCCAGCATCCTGGGAGCTGAAATCTTGGTTTCCATTGGGATTTCTCCGCAGAGCCTCTTCTCAGCTCCTGCAAATTTAGACTTCACATTTCTGTGTCTTTGTAGAAGTGTGTTTATGTTTGAATGAGTAATAACCACCTGCTGCAAAATGTAAAAATACTGGAGAACACAGACTGAAGAAGGGTTCCCCCAGCCGACTCTGGTTAGCAGGCAGGGGAGACGGCTGCCTTGTGGCCCCGTGCTCGTCTCCAGAGGCGGAGCTGTTCTGTCTGTGCCTTTAGCTCTATTGTATTTATTTTTTAGGGGGAGGGTACTGAGAACTGAACTCAGGACCTCGCGCTTGCCAGGCAGGTGCTGCGCCACCGGCAAGCTGTATCCCCAACCCTCTAGTTCTGTTTTAAAATAGCCTTTGGAAACTCTTCATTTCCTTTGAGCTGCCAATGTTTATTGCTGAAGATTTGGGAAGACCCAGAACCACACAATGAAATAAAAACCACTACAGAATCCACCGTCCTGAACACTGCTATGGAATTTGGTATATTCCCTGTAAAACTTCAAATACTATGTGTATATATTTCTAATATATTTGCATTTTTACTCTACATACCTCTTTACACAGTTTTATCATTTAATATTTGAATGTTTAGTATTTTTGCTGTCATTTCATGTCCTTGTACACATGCGAAACGGCTGTGTAGCATTCCACTGTACCGAACTGCTGAAACACACGTGTTACCTTTATTTAGAGTTTTACTATTATAATTTGCAGTGAACATTTTTGTGTTATTCTCTTTGTACTTTGAATCTTTCTCTTTCTTCCTTCCTTCCTTCCTCCGTTCCTTCCTTTCTTTCTTTCTTTGACAATACTGAGTTTGAATCCATGGCCTCAGGGGATCTTCAGGAGAAGATCCCCTGAACTGTATCAGTCAACCCTTTTAAAAATCTTTTATTTTGTGACAGGATATCACTAAATCGCTAAACTGCATAGACTGGGCTTGTACTTGCAATCTTCCTGCCTCAGCCTCTCAAAGTGCTGGGATTATAGGCATGCATCCTTATACATAGCAATATTTTAGATTTTGATGGTCTTTGAATTATGACGGATGAGAGTCTTTGCAGTGAGATTGCTAGCTTAGAAAGCGTGTAATATTTTAAAAATTGGTTGCTACATTCAGTTGAAATTCTCCCAGAGAGGCAGTGTCAGTAATTCATTCTCCCAGCAAGACATGGGGTGCGCACAGATCATTGTATGCTCACCAAGGAATGGAATAGTGGGGTCTTGAATTGTTACTAATTTGATGGCTGATCCCAGAGATCTTGGTTTCTCCTCTTTTTTTCTTTTCTTTTCTTTTCTTTTCTTTTTTCTTTTCTTTTCTTTTCTTTTCTTTTCTTTTCTTTTCTTTTCTTTCTTTCTTTCTTTCTTTTCTCTTTTTCTTTCTCTTTCTTTCTTTCTTTCTTTCTTTCTTTCTTTCTTTCTTTCTTTCCTTCTTTCTCTTTCTTTCTTAAAATCTGCGTGCTGTCAGTTGGGCTGCCGCTTGGGCCCCTGTGATCCATGGCCAGGTGGCTTTGACACCGCAGGTTGGGGGGTCCCCGTGTCCCTGCGGGGCAGGGCAGGCAGGCAGCCTGGGTGGGAGCCCAGTAATTATAAAAAGAAACCATCTGTTCCAGGGCCGGTTATTAACCTGCCTCGGGTGCTGACGTGACAGCGCCGAGCGTGGTTTTCACAGGCAGATGGTGTATTTTTAGCTGGAATTAACGTTTCTGTGCTTCTGTGTTGGAGACGTCTGGCTGGGCTTGCGGAGCGCAGGCACTGGGGTCCGGTCCATTCGTTGTTGCAAGGCGCCATCTAGCGGTCACGCCGGGCGCGCCCCGCTCCTCTCCCCGAGCGCCCTCTCCTGGTCACCGGCGTCCCCTGGCGAGGAAGGCCGCTCCGGGAGGACGAGGCTTTATGGGTTCCCTGTAGGCAGGGCTGAGACCTTCCTGAGGTTTTAATGAGCCATGGGCAGAACATCAGCCGGGTCTCCTGCAACATTTTTGCATATAAAACAGAATACGTCTTCATCCTGAGCAAGCAACATATGGCAATTACTAAATGCCAGGTCTCAAATGAAACTTGCGGGGAAGGAGCTGTCCGGGGCTGTGGTTTCAGGTTGCCGAGACCCGATAAATGGCGTTATGAGCTGAAGCAGGCCCATTATGACAACCAAGAATTGGGGCCGGCCAGATTGACCTTTGGGGTCAGCTGTGGGTACCCCCAAACCCTGGAAAATGGAGAAATTGGAAGATGCCCCTCAGTACTAGGGATGGAACCCAGGACCTTTTGCACTGTGTTATATCCCAAACCCCCGCCCCTTTTTATTTTTTTATTCTTTATTTATTTATTTTTGTCTTTCTGAGACAGGGTCTCACTGTGAAGTTCAGGCTGGCTTTGAGCTCACTTTGTAGCCCAGGCTGGCCTCGAACTCACAACAATCTTCCTGCCTCAGCCTCCCGAGTACTGGGGTTACAGGAGTGCGCCACCACGCCTGGCTTTTATTTTAAAATTTGAGACAGAGACTCACTAAATTGTCCAGGCTGGGCTGGAATTTAGAATCCTCCTGCCTCAGCCTCGGTGCTGGGATTACAGGGATCCACCAGTGTGCTGGCTAAAAAAGTATTTTTTTTTTAAATCCATTGATGTAGTAGCTATTCATTTAATTTTTCTGGATTTTAAGAGGACTTTATCATTCTTATTAGCAATTCAGTAAAT